GTCACCATGTTCCGTCCCACTCTCATCTTCCCGTGACCTCACTCTCATATAGTATACGCCAGTGTTCGTCCTCCATGGGTTTGCCAGGGTGCAAAGCAAATTTTTCTAATTATACTATACACCGCCCGGCGGGAACCAAATGTGTGCGGGGTGCCTGGAAAAGGATTCACAGGCCAGGCATCTGCATGCCTTTCGCAGGTTTCTTGATGAACTTCCAGCTCGTTCTCATCAGCGCAAATCTTGTGGCACCCCAAGCAAACTCGGGCTGTGCAACCTGATCCACTGCACCAACACGCAAGAATCAATTTGGGAGGCCGCTTGCCAACGTTCGTGCACAGATTTCAACAGCCTATTTTGTTGGAGGCTGAAGGCAGGCTTTCAGTTTACCAGGATACAGCCAACGCTTCTTGTTTTACTGAGCGTTCGGGCCTTGCAACTTGACGTGCATGGTGACCTTGGACTCGGTGCTGAATGCTTTTCCGCAGCCAGGGCATTTCCTGGGCATCGGCTCACACGGCAAAAACTGCCTACTGAATAAGGACCACCGGGCACGCTCGATCCCAAACGTGTCTGGTCTAGCGATTCAGGCACCACTCCTTGCGCCGTGGAGGTGTGCACTTCATTGTGCCAAGTGAGTGCCATGGTGCGAGAACCCGGCCAAGAAAACAAACCATGCCAAACTGAACACAACCATTGCGGCTTGCAAGCCAATGGAACATCTGAAGCCGAACTAGCCAATGTGTTCAACCCCAAGTAGTCAACAGGGAGGGAATACAAATTACTGTCAACAATATTAGTCACATCAGGTGACTGGAAAACTGTTAATCTGCAAGGGGGGGCCCGATGCGACGGGGTCACATCAGGGTCACATCAGGTTCCTGTTTACAAGGCGCTTTAGTGTTTGAAAAATGTTTTGGTTTTATACGAAATTATTCCATTTCCTTTGCGGAAGCAGCAGCAGTAGGCCCAGTAGGCATTTACACCAGCAGCAACCCAGCAGCAGCAGCAGCCACCACCACCACCAACACAACAACAACAACAACAGCAATAGCAGCAGCACACCAGCAGGAGCTAACAAGCAGCAGCAGCAGCAGCAGCAGCAACAGCAGCAGCAGCAGCAGCAAACAAGCAGCAGCAGCAGCAGCAGCAGCTAACAAGCAGCAGCAGCAGCAGTTAACAAGCAGCAGCAGCAGCAGCAGCAGCAGCAAACAAGCAGCAAACAAGCAGCAAACAAGCAGCAAACAAGCAGCAGACAAGCAGCAGACAAGCAGCAGACAAGCAGCAGACAAGCAGCAAACAAGCAGCAAACAAGCAGCAAACAAGCAGCAAACAAGCAGCAGCAACAGCAGCAGCAGCCACCACCACCACCACAACAACAGCAATAGCAGCAGCCAGGTGTTTCTTCTCAGGTGTGACAATCATGTCACAGTCACCACTGCCCTGCGCCTATGCTGCCGAAGGAAGCAGCAAGGAGCTCTAGCTCACAGATGCTTCAAAACCCCAAAAGAAATACAAGCACAAGCAGCACAAGCAGCACAAGCAGCAGCAGCACAAGCAGCAGCAGCAGCAGCACAAGCAGCAGCAGCACAAGCAGCAGCAGACAAGCAGCACACAAGCATGCAAGCTGCACGAGGCAAGCAGCACACAAGCATACAAGCATACAAGCAGCAGGAGGATATGGTGGTTCTAGGCGAGGCCCAGGCGAGGTCCAAGGCAGTACATCCCAGCCCAAGCACCATGCCAAGCCCAGAAGCACCCAAGCTCCAGAGTGCACATGGCCACATGCCTAAGATCCAAAGTGCACACAGCAGCACCCTGCAGCGGCACCAGCACCCAAGCTCTCAAGCGCACACAGCAGCGGCACTCTGCAACGCGCCAGCACCCAAGCTCCCCAGCACACCCTGCCGCGGCACCAGCGCCCAAGCTCGAGCACGCAAACACGCAGCTCTTCCTACACTGGAACAACAGCGGCACCCTTCAGCGGCACCAGCACCCACGCTCGAAAACGCACACACGCAGCTCCTTGAAGTAAGAACCCCAAGAGCTCACGCTGTCTGTTGAAAAAACACGATGCAATGATGCAACAAGGTTGTTGAATCTATCACACAAGCAAGCAACGCATGGGCACAGCACATTAACATCAGTTCGTAGAACAAATAGAACAACAACAAACATCCATAGAAAAGCCAATCCCCAAGGGCACACCATTTTGATACGCTTTCCTCCAGTTGATACGACTTAAAGCGAGGCCCCAGTAGCATTGAAAGAAAGGTTAGCTAGATCATTTGCATGTCGCATGTTCTCAAAACAGCATGGAATCATGAAACCGATGCGACTTCCCGAAGACCTTTCGACGCAAGTAACGGCAACATTTAGTGCAAACCGATGCGACTAATCTATCTGAGAGTACTTTACTTCGAGTGACCCCCACCATGACATTTCAATCATTTGTTCTCATGCCATGGTGAGGAGTTGTCATGGTCGTGAGTTGGTGGTTTTCGATTCTGCTTGCGGGTTCTCGGGTTTGGGATTGTTATTCACGTCGCTTCGCGACGGTAACCGCCCGCGCCGCATGGAAGGGGCCAATATTTCCACCGAACATAGCCCCGGAAGTGCCCCCCCCCCTCCCCAACGTGGCCGAGCATAGATTCCATGTTTCGAGATAGGGATTTAACATGGCCCAACGTGTCAGGCAATATGAAAGCTATGTTTGGCCACGTTAGGGGGTGTCTTTTATTCCAGTTTACGACGTTCAAGTCCCTATCTCGCAGACACTACCTTTAGATAGTGACTTCTAGGGCTATGTTAGGCAATATCTTCACTC